ACATCTCAAAAAGACACATTTAAATCTTTACCTTTTGGCTATAAACATAGAATATCATTTACAAACTTGTGCTATTTTGAATGAAAGTCGAAGAAATCTTAGAAATTTGGTTTCAAACAATTTTGTTTATCAGTTATTAAGACTGAAATACTAAATCTGATTCCACTCCAAGAATGAACTTACGTACGTGATCTAACCCTCTCTTGTCTGTCCGTCCCACTGATGTTACCACCACTTCGTGCTCTCCTCAAAAAAATAAATTGAATTAAAGGCATGGAATCCTCAAGATCAGCGTCCAAATTTCTTTCTCTCTTTATTACACAAATGTACATTATATTTTCAGAAATTCAAAAAGATTATTCCCTAGATAAAGACAAATAGAGAGGCTGATGTCTCATCCAAGACATCAGTATGTATGGAAGTTTATCTGTGACAGAGTAGATGTTTTCATCCACACCACAGACAAGGGTAATAAACAATACTCTTACTGTCGACCTAGTTGAATTAATCATTGCCAAATTCAGGAGGTTATTTACTAATAAGTTTGTAACTGAAGCATACCTGGTTGATCAGGCCCTGATCCACCGGGAGGCCTTGTCGTGGACCGGGCCGCAGGGGGTTTGAACCCCGGAATACCCTCCAGGTAGGTAGGCAGGCAGGTAAGAACATAAGAACATAAATTTAAATATTCCTTGTGTGATGCATAAAAATTACTTTATATCATGTTAATAAAGTAACGTGCAAAATCGGGAAACACTTGACAAAGACAAAGTGTCAGGAAAATGGGTAGTAATCTTATTTGATCCTAGACTCGCCAATGAAGAATTTTGGGCAAGTTGGGTTAAAAAGACTAATTTTTCTTATTTCATCATCTATAATCGCTAGATTATGCAGAAACCTCTAAAAAATCTAAAAATAAACTGCCTCGCAGTGATATGAATATTGATCTATTTGGAATCACGCACTGATGGCTTGCTATATATATATCAAAACTCATTTTGATTTCAAGCTCATGTTTTTAATTTAAAATATATATAATAGTTTTCAGCCCGTTCATTTAACCTCCACAATAAATCTTCTGTTAAACTGGACTATTTAGTTAAAAATACTTGTAAACGGAATATTTAGAATAATAATAATGGGCAATACCATGACTTGAACAAGTCATATCCATGGCGCCAGTATGTATGGAAGTTTGCTCCTTGTCAAGGTTTATATCGTGATGGACAGTTCAAATGTGTGTCATATGGTGGTTGCATCCCTGTGTCGTGTGTGATGGCCATGTACACTGTCCAGACTCAAGTCTCAACCACACCACCACCACAGACCGCACCATCTTTAACCGTACCACCATCAGAGGTATTAACAAGAGTTTTCTTAACAAAGACATCTAGCTTTTATTGGGAAAACCCTTTGGCTTTGTGTAGAACTTTATCAAGAGCTCATAAAGTTTTATACTAATTGAAACGAAATCCCAGTAAATGCTGGTTCTTCAAACTGAACCTCTGTTGCACTGGACTAAAAAGGTTCAACGTGAGCCAGAATCGGGTTCTGCAACAGATTTTCATTTGTATGAAATTTTGGAATGGTTTTAGGCACACCTGGGCACCCTATTGTTGTAGGCACATCTAGACACCCTGTTGTAGCGACAAATGGGCACCCTATTGTTGTAGATTCAAATGGGCACCCTATTGCTGTAGACACATCTGGGCACCTCATTGTTGTAGACACAAATGGGCACTCTATTGCTGTAGACACATCTGGGCACCTTATTGTTGTAGGCACAAATGGGCACCCTATTGCTGTAGACACATCTGGGCACCTCATTGTTGTAGACACAAATGGGCACTCTATTGCTGTAGACACATCTGGGCACCTTATTGTTGTAGGCACAAATGGGCACCCTATTGCTGTAGACACATCTGGGCACCTTATTGCTGTAGGCACAAATGGGCACCCTATTGCTGTAAACACATCTGGGCACCTTATTGTAGTAGAGACCAGGGCACCTTGATTCAGTGTATAGAGATGGTGAAGTTGGTTACTTCGCCAGGAAATTGTCTCCTGACAAGAATCATTGTCTAGTGACGACTCACTGAGCGATTACGAAACTGTTGTCACACAGGTGTTGGGTATCAGATTAGGTAACGTTCGTCGGGAAACAGGACAAGTGTTTCCTCGTGGGTCTTAGATGATGACCAGTCGTTGGAGCTTTTGGTCATCTGACCGAGGCCTTCCACTGGCTTACCTGTCCACCCCTTTTAAAAAATATGATCAGTTATAATTATTTAGTAATTTTAGGTATCAATGTTTATACAGTGGCTATTTTACTACTAGTACATATCAGTAGCAACATTCCCCCGATGAAAAGCAGGGGCGCCACTAGTACCTTGAGAGACAACACAATAAGTGTGCGGGGCCCAGTACTGTTCAATTGCCTCCCAGCATACATAAGGGGGATTACCAATAGAACCCTGGCTGTCTTCAAGAAGGCACTGGACAGGCACCTAAAGTCGGTACCTGACCAGCCGGGTTGTGGTTCGTACCTGGAGTCTACCTACCTGGAGGTTATTCGGGGGATCAACGCCCCCGCGGCCCTGTCCACGACCAGACCTCCCGGTGGATCAGGGCCTGATCAACGTCAGCTTGCGTGCGGCCAGCAGTAACAGCCTGGTTGATCAGACCCTGATCTACCATGAGGCATGGTCTCAGACCGAGCCGCGGGGGCGTTGACCCCCGAAACCCTCTCCAGGTAAACTCCAGGTAAGCATCCTCTGGCTCGCCGGAGCTCGGTTTTTTTCCCCCTTTTAACTAAACAAAGGAGCATAATTTAGTGTCTTGCGATGTGTATAAACAATGATTGGTGCGGTATAATGGTTGTGTTACCAGAGAATGAGAGTACGAGAAGGAAAAATAACTTGTAACGTGGGTTGCCTAGTTGTATCGACCACAATTTATTAATTTCCTCTTTTTTTTATTACCTCAAGGACTGTAACTCACCGAGGTAAGCGACTACAAAAGAAAAGGAAATCACATTCACCATCTTCCATTCAATAGTCAGAAAAATGCTGATATCGTAATTCACACATACCTTCCTACGGCATTCCTTCAGAATGCAGGCATTGCCCTTCTCACCCCAAGAATCCTTTCGTAAATGTTACCTTGCTCGCACTCCAACAGTATATCAAGCCATGAAAACTGTCTCCACTCCGACCTAACTCTCTTGGAGGCAAATGCCTCCAAGAGAGTTAGGACGACCCCGACCCCTCCGTCCTTTCACCCCAGGGGTTATACTCCTCTTGGTTATCCTCTTGCTCTCCATACTCTCTAAATCCCACACCATCTCAACAACCCTTCCTCAGCCATCTCAGTTATTCCGTTCGTAATATTATTCCTTCTTCTAATTCCTGCTTTCGCAATTCTCTGCAAAATATTGACGTCACATATTGCGCTCAAACTTGACATCTCTACTGAGTCTACCCTCCTCTTCCTCGCTGTAATATTCAAAGTCCATGCCTGACACCATTCACCAGTGTTAGTGCAAATTACTATGCTACATTCCCCCTCTCCTCCCATTTTTTCCCTCTTCATACATAAACATATTTGGCAAATGAGACACTTGTGTAACATTTAGTTTTCTTTATTCTGGAAAAGTTTCGCCAGCCATTTTATTCTTTAGTCCAGTACAGAGAACTGTGAAAAATCAGGAGTTTGAGGTAATCAGTCCTTTAGCCTGGAGTCAATGTATTCAGTCCATTAATCTTGATTAAAATGTAGCATATTCGCAGAGATGAACCTTATTATGTACTGCAGACAGATGAGTTAGAGCAGTGGTAGGCGGCGTCACCAGTGGAAAAAACCTGCTAGTGGAGGTAGGTCATGCCAGATTATTATTATTATAATCAAGGGGGAAGCGCTAAACCTGGAGGATTATACAGCGCCTGTGGGGGGGGATGTGGAAGGCATTCAGGCGGGTCATGCCAGAGAGGTTAGGCAAGTTTTGAAGAATTCCTTAAATCACGATCCCAAGATGTTACTGTGTCTGACAAAATTTGAGTAAATGGTTTGGAAAACTGACAAGCTGAAAAATGAAACACGCACCTAACATTTGGATATCTTTAGTTTGGAAAGGTTTGAACATTGTATACAAATAAGCTCATTGACATCGCATCCAAGACAATAATATATAAGGAAATTTGTATTTTGAGAGGAAATTTGTTTTGAAATTCAGTTCAAGTGTCAGTCATCTGGCGAATGTAACCCTCGTTTATGGGTGTGTGATGAGACCAAAGACTGTCGAGACTCAAGTGATGAGGAAAACTGTGGTTCACGCAGTCATTGTTGACTTCATCTCCAGCACTGTCGACTTCATCTACATCACTGTCGACTTCATCTCCATCACTGTCGACTTCATCTCTATCACTGTCGACTTCATCTCTATCACTGTCGACGTCATCTCCATCGCTGTCGACGTCCATCACTGTCGACGTCATCTCCATCGCTGTCGACGTCCATCACTGTCGACGTCATCTCCATCGCTGTCGACGTCCATCACTGTCGAGATAATTAAAAAGATCTGTGATCGGAGTATTTAGAAGAATAAAAAGGCACAATACCATGACTACTGATACTATTATTATTTCCACTAGTACTACTACTGATTGTACTACTACTTCCACTACTATTATTACTACTACTACTGCTACTTCTACTAGTATTACTACTTCTCCTGCTACTACTACTACTACTACTACTACTTCTATTACTACTACTAGTACTTTAATAAATTCCCTCTTCCCGTTCTACCTTTCTTGTCCGCCACTTTCCTCTTGTATATATGTTGTGGCTCCCTTCTTTTTGAACTTCTCTGTCACCAGTTATTAATGGTCCAAGTCGGACCGATACGTTGTCATAAGTTTCTCCTCTGTGCAGGATATTTGTGTATTGTTCCAGTCACGGCATTGTGCCTTTTTATTATTTACATATATATTCTTTAACAGAGAACATGTTCGGATGCAGAATTCACATGTCAGCCGTCAGGTAAATGCATCCCTAAGATTTGGGAGTGTGATGGTGATCCTGACTGTCCAGACTCCAGCGACGAGGAGGACTGCACATTAACTACACCAGCACCGCCGCCAGTACCATCAACAACACAGACAGGGGTAATAAACAGCAGCCTTACTGTCTCACTAGTTGAATTAATCATTGTCAAATTCAGGAGGTTATTTGAAAATAATTTCATAATTGAAGTACACAACTTTAACTTGCACATGGGAAATATTCACTCACATTTAAACATTCACTCTATGATGCATGCAATTTAAGTAATAAATATGTTAATATCATAACCTGCAAAATAGAAAACACTTGACAAAGACAAAAAGTGACAGGAATATAGGATGATTAAATTGAGACACATGTGCAACATCTGGGTATCTTTATTGTAGACGTTTTGCCATCCAGTGGCTTTATCAATACAAATTCCAGGACAGATAGAGATAGCAGAACTATATACAGAAAATGAGGTAATCAGTCTCTCAACCTTGGAGTTGGTGCGAAGAGCACCGTAGTTGTAGAGATTCTGAAGCAGAAGCAAGGAGCCTGGCGCATTTTTACTAACGTCAGGTGGAAAGGGGACGTGCAGCAGACGAGGGCATAGTCACTGGTAGGCGGGATTCCCCAGTGGAAGTAGGACCTTCCCAAAGTGATGGGTTAGTTGTAGTAGTAGTTGTCGTAGCCGTGTAGGTTATGTACATGTCCTCAGAATCAAAATTCCATGATGTTGCAGTTAGTTAGTTAGTTACCATTTTGTCCTAGGCACATGTCGATTAGACACTAGGCCTGTTGTGTGTGTGTAGGTGTGTAGGTGTGTGTGTGTGTTTGTGTGTGTGTGTGTGTGTGTGTGTGTGTGTGTCTGACAAGTTGTGCAAGAATGATGTACAATACCGACAAGATGAAATTGAGACACATGTGCAACACCTTTCCACCTGACGTTAGTATAAAAGCGTCAGGCTCCTTGCTTCTGCTTCAGAATCTCTACAACTACGGTGATTTTCGCACCAACTCCAAGGTTGAAGGACTGATTACCTCATTTTCTGTATATAGTTCTGCTGTCTTCAAGTTATGTCCTGGAATTTGTATTGATAAAGCCACTGGATGGCGAAACGTCCACAATAAAGATAACCAGATGTTGCACATGTGTCTCAATTTCATCTTATCGATATTGTATACCATTCTTGCACAGGAATATAGGTTGCAATCATATTTTATTAAAAACTCGTCGATAAAGAATTTTGGCCAACTTTGGTTTTAAAGTCTTATTTTTCTTATTTCATCATCTATAATCCCTAGATTATGCACAAAGATTTAAAAAAATCCAAAAAGTATACCGTCTCGTAGTGATATGAATAAGGATATGAATAAGGATATGAATAAGGATATTTTTTGAAACAAGTATTGCTGGTTTTCTATACATGAACAATCATTTTCATTTCAGGATCTTTTTTTATTTAAAATATATATAATATTTTTCAACAAGTTTTTTCAACCTATACAATGAATCTTTTCTCTGACCTGGACTATGTAATTAAAACGGCATGATCGGAGTTTTAAAGGAACAAAAAGGCACAATACCATGACTTGAACACTACTATTGAAACAACTATTACTACTACTACTACTACTACTACTACTTTAATAAAATTCTTTCTTCCTGTTCTACCTCTCCTGTCCCCCGCCCTTCTCTCGTATATTTTTGGCTTACTTCTTTTTGAATTTCTCTGTGTGACTAGTTAATGGTCCGTCGGACCGAAATGTCGTCACATAAGCTTCTTTCTCCTCTGTGGAGGTTATTTGTGTATTGTTCCAGTCACGGTAGTGTGATGTTTTATTATTTACAAATACGTCCTTTGACAGAGAACATGTTCAGATGTAGAATTCACATGTCAGCCGTCAGGCAAATGCATCCCTAAGATTTGGGAGTGTGATGGTGTTTCTGACTGTCCAGACTCCAGCGACGAGAACTGTATATTAACTACGCCAGCACCGCCGCCATTACCATCAACATCACAGACAGGGGTAATAAACAACTGCCTTACTCTCTCATTAGTTAGAGTAATCATTGTCAAATTCAGGAGCTTATGTGTTAATAATTTTATAACTGAAGCATACTTCTTAAACATGCACATGAGAAAAATAATCACACAAATCCAAGAGCTGATTTTTTTAATTTTACAGCTGAAATTTTCTGAGGTCATAAAGACTGACAGACTGACATCACATCCATAATAATAGTCTGTACGGAAGTTTGTCTTTTGACAGGAAAACTGCTCTGAAGAACAGTTCAGATGTGAGTCATCTGGCGAGTGTATTCCTCGTCTGTGGGTTTGTGATGATGTATCAGATTGTTCAGACTCAAGTGATGAAGAAAACTGTGTCATCATACCAGCAGAATCATCGCCTTCATCGAAAGTAATGATGACATTTTTGACTCTTCCTGTTCTACCTCTCCTATCCCCGCTCTCCTCCCGTATATATTCTGACTCCCTTCTTCTTGAGCTTCTCTGTGTTACCAGTTATTATTGGTCCAAGTCGGACCGACACGTCGTCATGAATTTTGTCCTCTGTGCAGGTTATTTGTGTATTGTTCCAGTCACGGTATTGTGCCTTTTTATTATTACATATATGTCCTTTAACAGAGAACATGTTCGGACGTAGAATTCACATGTCAGCCGTCAGGTAAATGCATCCTTAAGTATTGGAAGTGTGATGGTGATCCTGATTGTCCAGACTCCAGCGACGAGGAGAACTGCACGTTAACTACGCCAGCACCGCCGCTAGTACCATCAACAACACAGACAGGGGTAATAAACAACAGCCTTACTGTCTCACTAGTTTAATCAGTGTCAAATTCAAGAGCTTATTTGTTAATAATTTTACAACTGAAATTTTCTTAGGTCATAAAGACCATACAATGCATGCAGACAAATAATAATCTTCCATAATAATAGTCTGTATGGAAGTTTGTCCTTTGACAGAAAACCTGTTATGAAGAACAGTTCAGATGTGAGTCATCTGGCGAGTGTATTCCTCGTCTGTGGGTTTGTGATGATGAATCAGACTGTCAAGACTCAAGTGATGAGGGAAACTGTGTCAGCATACAATCACCAGCACCATCACCGCCTCCACCGAAGGTAATGCCATTTTGACTCAAGAAATTCCAATAGCACGAATGTAAACAAATAACAGAACGGAGAAGCGGGTTGCCTTGAACCCATTGTAGGAGAGTCATAAAACTGGCAAGAACTTTAGGATTCACCGGACTTTGAGTCGAACCCCACCCGGTCTGTGATTTAATACCAAATGCTTTACCTTCAACGTTACATCTAGTTTAAATTAATCAGTCTTGCTGCTATTTTTTTTCTAATCCCCCTTACGCATGTGTATAAGAAACAACTCACTTTCATATACACACACAATGATTCGAGAAAGGGCATGCCATTCTTGGCTGCTCAGAAACAAGTTGTCATTAACGGACAGAGGATCGAGCCTCCTCCAAGCCTTACACTGAATAAACCACAAAGGTTAGCCAGTCATACAATACAAACTGCATGATATGTGCTAAATTTTGTACCTCCTCCTGTGGTGAGTTACTTCACCTCAGAACCTGAACTGCAGTAGCTATAATGACTCACCTGAGTCCTCTTTCTTAATTCTCTGAAACGTTTCTCTTTGTTTTCATTGTGCAAGAAGATGGCTGCTTCCACCCATATATCACCCTCACTCCACCCATATATCACCTTCACTTCCACCCATATATCACCTTCACTTCCACCTGTCTATCACTGTCACTCTCACCCATCTATCTTATTCACTTCCACCAATATATCACCTTCATATTCACCAATCTGTCACTTTCACTTCCACCCATTTATCACCTTCACTTCCACCCATCAGTCACCTTCACTTCCACTTATGTATAATTTTCACTTCTATTTCTCTATCACCTTCGCTTCCATATATCTATTACCGTCACTTCCACCCATCTCATCTTCGCTTCCACCAAATCTATCACCTTCACGTCCACCTATGTATCAAATTCACTTCCACTCATCTATCACCTTCACTTCCACTCATCTATCATCTTCACTTCCACCCATCTATTATTATCAGTTCCACCTATCTATCACCTTCACTTCCATCCAACTATTAGCTTCACTTCCAGCTTCACTTCCACCCATCTGTCATCACCTCAACCAATCTAACACCTTCACGTCCACCTATCTATCACATTCACTTCCACCTATCTATCATCTTCACTTCCACCCATCTATCACCTTCATTCCACCCATCTCTCATCTTCACTTCCACGCAGTTATCATTTTTCACTTCCATCCATCTACCACCTTCACTTCAACTCATGTATCACCTTCACTTAAACCCATCTATCACCTTCACTTCCATTCATCTATTGCCTTCACTTCCACCCATCTATCATCTTCACTTCCACCAATCTATCACCTATACTTCAACTTATCTATCACCTTCACTTCCATTCATCTATTACCTTCACTTCCACCCCTCTATCATCTTCACTTCCACCAATCTATCACCTATACTTCCACTCGTCTATCACCTTCACTTCCCATCATTTATCACCTTCACTTCACTCATTTAACACTTTCACTTCCACTCATCTAATTAATCAAGTTGTCGGTTCTCTGAGCCATTTACATATATAAGTGTCAGATACAGGAACATCCTGGGATCTTTATACAGAGAATTCTTCACTTGCCTAGCCTATAGGGATGATCTACTTCCAAATGTGGATTTGTCCACTGTGATATCACTTACGACTGCTTCACCTCACCTGTCTACAGTATATAAGCCACTTCGCGCATATGCTGTATTCTTTTCAAGATTGATGGACTGATTACATAGGCTCCAGGCTGAGGGACTGATTACCTCAAAATCCTTCTGATTTTCACCATTCTTCTTGGTTTAGGACTGATGAAGCCATTGCATGTCGAAACGTTTCCTCAATAAAGATCCCCAAGTGTTGCACATGTGTCTAATTCATGAACTTGTTGGTTTTGTGTACCATTTATCTACATCTTTAAACATGTTGAACACTGTAATATCTATGATGAGCAGAGTAGCTCGCGTGATGTATCACAAGTGATGTCTTTCTTGCCTTGGTCGGCGAACTTTTTGGTAATTACCCCAAAACAAGTGTGTGTACAGCAAAGTTACCCACTAGACTAAAAATTATTTTTGTGGAAAAATATAACTTTCTTAATTTGCCTCGCTAATTAAAGAATATTTTTTCCTGCGGTTTTATTTATATGTTTATTGAGCTTTCATTATTCTCAGAGATTTTTAATTTTTACCCCATTTGGGGTAATTTACCCCGGTTCTCCGACCACTGGGACTCTAGCTGGTTCACAGATTATTATGAATCCTTAATGTAACTTTGGGTGATTGCGAAGGTTTTGACGGAACCAGAGAAGCTGGTTGATATTTTGGATAACTCTGAAAATAGTTTAAACAATAATATATCCTGCAATGATTATGTAGGAGAAGAAGGTGCTTAGTATGGGCCAGTGGGCCAAGCGTACTGCTAATTGATTCCAGTGTTCTTATATACAAATATTTACTCTCTAAAGCAGGATCGTAACCTACGGCAAGTGGGTCGGATCCTTCCCATAACCCGGAACACTGCGGCCCGCAGTGCCTACGAGAAATATTATATCAACCCAGCCAACAGGCTTTTTTTTTTTCTAGGACTTCCGTCACCTTGAAATGTAGAACAAGTGCAGACAGTGAAGCTCGACAAAACTACGATCTTCTGTGGCTAGAAGCCACTCTCTCTCACTCTCTCTCTCTCACTCTTTCTCTCTCTCTCTCTCTCTCTCTCTCTCTCTCTCTCTCTCTCTTCTCTCTCTCTCTCTCTCTCTCTCTCTCTCTCTCTCTCTCTCTCTCTCTCTCTCTCTCTCTTTTACTATTTTTTATGTGCTGTGTTATAAGCCCGTATATAAGTCTACGTATGTGTTTAAAATTATAATAAAGAAATACCCAAAACGGACGAAATGAAAAAGAAACTTTTAGAATACTAATATAGATTTAATAGTAATTTTTAATTAGTTTTCTTATTTCGGATGTTCCATAGCTCCTGTTTTCTGTATGTGACACTAGAGTTCTACAAGAAATATCTTGAGTTAGTTATGTTAGGAAGGTTCGCCAGAAACAGGACCAACGTTTCATGACGCGGGTCTTAGATGATGAACTGCCGTTGGAGGTTTAGGTCATCTGTCCGAAGCCTTCCGCTGGCTTACCAGTCCACCCCTTTAAAAATTATGCACGTAGTTATAACCATTTTTCTTCTCAGAAATATTATCTTGAAAGTGGTATGTATACCAGCTTGGAATATCACGCTATAAAAATGACGTCAAAGTTAAGCAGTACTTACATGTACGAGAAACTTTTCTTAAAAATGAAATAGAAGAAGAGTAACTTAAGAAACCGACTGACTGATGACCATTTAGACGACTATGTAATCAAAAAGATTTATGATCGGGGTATTTAGAAGAATAAAAAGGCATAATACCATGACTCGAACACTACTATTGATAATACTATTATTACTACTAGTACCATTGCTGCTACTGCTTCTATTACTACTTCTTGTACTAGTACAACTAGTACAATAAAATTCCCTCTTCCCGTTCTACCTCTCCTATCCCAGCTCTCCTCCCGTATATATTCTGACTCCCTTCTTCTTGAGCTTCTGTGTTACCAGTTATTATTGGTACAAGTCGGACCGACACGTCGTCATGAGTTTTGTCCTCTGTGCAGGTTATTTGTGTATTGTTCTAGTCACGGTATTGTGCCTTTTTATTATTACATATATGTCCTTTAACAGAAAACATGTTCGGGCGTAGAATTCACATGTCAGCCGTCAGGTAAATGCATCCCTAAGGATTGGGAGTGTGATGGTGATCCTGACTGTCCAGACTCCAGCGACGAGGAGAACTGCACGTTAACTACGCCAGCACCGCCGCCAGTACCATCAACAACACAGACAGGGGTAATAAACAACAGCCTTACTGTCTCACTAGTTTAATCAGTGTCAAATTCAAGAGCTTTTTGATAATAATTTTACAACTGAAATTTTCTTAGGTCATAAAGACCATACAATGCATGCAGACAAATAATAATCTTCCATAATAATAGTCTGTATGGAAGTTTGTCCTTTGACAGAAAACCTGTTCTGAAGAACAGTTCAGATGTGAGTCATCTGGCGAGTGTATTCCTCGTCTGTGGGTTTGTGATGATGAATCAGACTGTCTAGACTCAAGTGATGAAGGAAACTGTGTCAGCACACAATCACCAGCACCATCACCGCCTCCATCGAAGGTAATGCCATTTTGACTCAAGAAATTTCAATAGCACGAATGTAATCAAATAACAGAACGGAGAAGCGGGTTGCCTTGAACCCATTGTAGGAGAGTCATAAAACTGGCAAGAACTTTAGGATTCACCGGACTTTGAGTCGAACCCCACCCGGTCTGTTTAAATTAATCAGTCTTGTTGCTATTCGTTTTTGTAATCCCCCTTACCCACGAATATAAGAAACGACTCACACTCATATACACACACAATGATTCGAGAAAGGGCATGTCATTCTTGGCTGCTCAGAAACAAGTTGTCATTAACGGATAGAGGATCGAGCCTCCTTCAAGCCTTACACTGAATAAACCACAAAGGTTAGCCAGTCATACAATACAAACTGCATGATATGTGCTAAATTTTGTACCTCCTCCTGTGGTGAGTTACTTCACCTCAGAATCTGAACTGCAGTAGCTATAATGACTCACCTGAGTCCTCTTTCTTAATTCTCTGAAACGTTTCTCTTAGTTTTCATTGTGGAAAAAAGGTGGCTGCTTCCACCCATATATCACCCTCGCTCCACCCATATATCACCTTCACTTACACCCATATATCACCTTCACTTCCACCTATCTATCACTGTCACTCTCATCCATCTATCTTCTTCACTTCCACCAATATATCACCTTCATATTCACCAATCTGTTACTTTCACTTCCAGCCATTTATCACCTTCACTTCCACCTATCAGTCACCTTCACTTCCACCTATCTACAATTTTCACTTCCACCCATCTATCATATTCACTTCCACCCATCTATTATTTTAATTTACACGTCTCTATCACCTTCGCTTCCATATATCTATTACCGTCACTTCCACCCATCTCATCCTCGCTTCCACCAAATCTGTCACCTTCACGTCCACCTATGTATGAAATTCACTTCCACCTACCTATCACCTTTGCTTCCACCCATCAATTACCTTCACTTCCACCTGTCTATCACTTTCACTTCCACCCATCTATCATCTTCACTTCCACTCATCTATCACCTTCACTTCCACTCATCTATCATCTTCACTTCGACCCATCTATTATTTTCAGTTCCACCTATCTAACACCTTCACTTCCATCCATCTATTAGCTTCACTTCCAGCTTCTCTTCACCCATCTATCATCACCTCTACCAATCTATCACCTTCACGTCCACCTATCTATCACATTCACTTCCACTTATCTATCATCTTCACTTCCACCCATCTATCACCTTCACTTCCACCCATCTCTCATCTTCACTTCCACCCAGCTATCATTTTTCACTTCCATCCATCTACCACCTTCACTTGCACTCACGTATCACCTTCACTTAAACCCATCTATCACCTTCGCTTCCATCCATCTATTACCTTCACTTCCACCCATCTATCATCTTCACTTCCACCAATCTATCAACTATACTTCCACTCATCTGTCACCTTCACTTCACATCATTTATCACCTTCACTTCCACTCATTTAACACTTTCACTACCACTCATCTAATTAATCAAATTGTCGGTTCTCTGAACCATTTATCTACCTTAGTCTCAGACACAGCAACATCTTGGGATCTTTATACAGAGAATTCTTCACTTGCCTAGCCTATAGGGATGATCTACTTCCAAATGTGGATTTGTCCACTGTGATATCACTTACGACTGCTTCACCTCACCTGTCTACAGTATATAAGCCACTTCGCGCATATGCTGTATTCTTTTCAAGATTGATGGACTGATTACATAGGCTCCAGGCTGAGGGACTGATTACCTCAAAATCCTTCTGATTTTCACCATTCTTCTTGGTTTAGGACTGATGAAACCAATGCATGTCGAAACGTTTCCTCAATAAAGATACCCAAGTGTTGCACATGTGTCTAATTCATGAACTTGTTGGTTTTGTGTACCATTTATCTACATCTTTAAACATGTTGAACACTGTAATATCTATGATGAGCAGAGTAGCTCGCGTGATGTATCACAAGTGATGTCTTTCTTGCCTTGGTCGGCGAACTTTTTGGTAATTACCCCAAAACAAGTGTGTGTACAGCAAAGTTACCCACTAGACTAAAAATTATTTTTGTGGAAAAATATAACTTTCTTAATTTGCCTCGCTAATTAAAGAATATTTTTTCCTTCGGTTTTATTTATATGTTTATTGAGTTTTCATTAATCTCCGAGGTTTTTCATTTTTACCCCATTTGGGGTAATTTACCCCGGTTCTCCGACCACTGGGACTCTAGCTGGTTCACAGATTATTATGAATCCTTAACGTAACTTTGGGTGATTGCGAAGCTTTTGACCGAACCAGAGAAGCTGGTTGATATTTTGGATAACTCTGAAAATAGTTTAAACAATAATATATCCTGCAATGATTATGTAGGAGAAGAAGGTGCTTAGTATGGGCCAGTGGGCCAAGCGTACTGCTAATTGATTCCAGTGTTCTTATATACAAATATTTACTCTCTAAAGCAGGGTCGTAACCTACGGCAAGTGGGTCGGATCCTTCCCATAACCCGGAACACTGCGGCCCGCAGTGCCTACGAGAAATATTATATCAACCCAGCCAACAGGCTTTTTTTTTTTTCTAGGACTTCCGTCACCTTGAAATGTAGAACAAGTGCAGACAGTGAAGCTCGACAAAACTACGATCTTCTGTGGCTAGAAGCCACTCTCTCTCTCTCTCTCTCTCTCTCTCTCTCTCTCTCTCTCTCTCTCTCTCTCTCTCTCTCTCTCTCTCTCTCTCTCTCTCTCTCTCTTTTACTATTTTTTATGTGCTGTGTTATAAGCCCGTATATAAGTCTACGTATGTGTTTAAAATTATAATAAAGAAATACCCAAAACGGACGAAATGAAAAAGAAACTTTTAGAATACTAATATAGATTTAATAGTAATTTTTAATTAGTTTTCTTATTTCGGATGTTCCATAGCTCCTGTTTTCTGTATGTGACACTAGAGTTCTACAAGAAATATCTTGAGTTAGTTATGTTAGGAAGGTTCGCCAGAAACAGGACCAACGTTTCATGACGCGGGTCTTAGTCAGATGATGAACTGCCGTTGGAGGTTTAGGTCATCTGTCCGAAGCCTTCCGCTGGCTTACCAGTCCACCCCTTTAAAAATTATGCACGTAGTTATAACCATTTTTCTTCTCAGAAATATTATCTTGAAAGTCGTATGTATACCAGCTTGGAATATCACGCTATAAAAATGACGTCAAAGTTAAGCAGTACTTACATGTACGAGAAACTTTTCTTAAAAATGAAATAGAAGAAGAGTAACTTAAGAAACCGACTGACTGATGACCATTTAGACGACTATGTAATCAAAAAGATTTATGATCGGGGTATTTAGAAGAATAAAAAGGCATAATACCATGACTCGAACACTACTATTGATAATACTATTATTACTACTAGTACCATTGCTGCTACTGCTTCTATTACTACTTCTTGTACTAGTACAACTAGTACAATAAAATTCCCTCTTCCCGTTCTACCTCTCCTATCCCAGCTCTCCTCCCGTATATATTCTGACTCCCTTCTTCTTGAGCTTCTCTGTGTTACCAGTTATTATTGGTACAAGTCGGACCGACACGTCGTCATGAGTTTTGTCCTCTGTGCAGGTTATTTGTGTATTGTTCTAGTCACGGTATTGTGCCTTTTTATTATTACATATATGTCCTTTAACAGAAAACATGTTCGGACGTAGAATTCACATGTCAGCCGTCAGGTAAATGCATCCCTAAGGATTGGAAGTGTGATGGTGATCCTGATTGTCCAGACTCCAGCGACGAGGAGAACTGCACGTTAACTACGCCAGCACCGCCGCCAGTACCATCAACAACACAGACAGGGGTAATAAACAACAGCCTTACTGTCTCACTAGTTTAATCAGTGTCAAATTCAAGAGCTTTTTGATAATAATTTTACAACTGAAATTTTCTTAGGTCATAAAGACCATACAATGCATGCAGACAAATAATAATCTTCCATAATAATAGTCTGTATGGAAGTTTGTCCTTTGACAGAAAACCTGTTCTGAAGAACAGTTCAGATGTGAGTCATCTGGTGAGTGTATTCCTCGTCTGTGGGTTTGTGATGATGAATCAGACTGTCTAGACTCAAGTGATGAAGGAAACTGTGTCAGCATACAATCACCAGCACCATCACCGCCTCCATCGAAGGTAATGCCATTTTGACTCAAGAAATTCCAATAGCACGAATGTAAACAAATAACAGAACGGAGAAGCGGGTTTTGCCTTGAACCCATTGTAGGAGAGTCATAAAACTGGCAAGAACTTTAGGATTCACCGGACTTTGAGTCGAACCCCACCCGGTCCGTTTAAATTAATCAGTCTTGTTGCTATTCGTTTTTGTAATCCCCCTTACCCACGAATATAAGAAACGTCTCACACTCATATACACACACAATGATTCGAGAAAGGGCATGTCATTCTTGGCTGCTCAGAAACAAGTTGTCATTAACGGATAGAGGATCGAGCCTCCTCCAAGTCTTACACTGAATAAACCACAAAGGTTAGCCAGTCATACAATACAAACTGCATGATATGTGCTAAATTTTGTACCTCCTCCTGTGGTGAGTTACTTCACCTCAGAATCTGAACTGCAGTAACTATAATGACTCACCTGAGTCCTCTTTTTTTAATTTTCTGTAACGTTTCTGTTAGTTTTTATTGTGCTTTCACCCATATATCACCTTCACTTCTACCCATGTATCACCTTCACTTCCAACCATATATCACCTTCACTTCTACCCATATATCACCTTCACTTTCACCCATATATCACCTTCACTTCTACCCATGTATCACCTTCACTTCCAACCATATATCACCTTCACTTCTACCCATATATCACCTTCACTTTCACCCATATATCACCTTCACTTCCACTCGTATATCACCATTTCCACCAATATATAACCTTCATTTCCATCCATATATCACCTTCACTTCCTCCCAAATATTACCTTCAGTTTCACCCATATATTACCTTCACTTCCACCTTTTACCTTCTCTAACACTTGTCTGTCACCTTCACTTACACTTATCTATCTCTTTCACTTCCACTCATCTTTCACCTTCATTTCCACCAATCTATCACCTTCACTTTCTCCACTTTAACACCTTCACTTCCAGTCAACTATCACCTTCACTTCCATTCATATATCACCTTCACTTCACTTTTATATCACCTTCATTTTCACTCATCTGTCACCTTCACTTACATCCATTACCTTCACTTCCACCCATCTATCACCTTCACTTCCACCTTTCTATCGGCTTCACTTCCACCTATCTATCACCTTCACTTCCACCCATCTCTCATCTTTACTTCCACCCAACTATCACCTTCACTTCCAAAAATATCACCTTCACTTCCACCCATCTATCATCACTACCACCCAACAATCATATTCACTTCCACCCAAGGATCACCTTCACTTCCACCCATCTATCACCTTTACTTCCACACATATCATCTTCACTTCCACCCAACCATCACCTTGACTTCCACACATCTATCACTTTCACTTCCACTCATCTATCAACTTCACTTCCCCCATCTCTCACCTTCACTTCCTCTCATCTATCACCTTCACATCCAATCATCTATCGGCTTCACTTCCTCTCATCTATCACTTTCACTTCCACCCATCTATCAAATTTATTTCCCTCATCTGTCACCTTCACTTTCACTTATCTACCTCCTTCTCTTCCATTCATCTTTCACCTTTACTTCCACTTATAAATCACCTTCGCTTCCACCCATCTATCACTTTTATTTATATTCATCTATCACTTTCACCAGTCTATCACCTCCACTTCAACATATATATCACCTTTACTTCCACCCATCTGTCACTTTCACTTTCACCTGCCTATCACCTTGACTTTCATCAATCTATCATCTTCACTTTCAGCAATGTAACACCTTCACTTTCACTTAATAAATCACTTTCACCACTCTATCACCTTCACTTCCAGGCAACTCTGACCTTCACTTCCATTCATATATCACCTTCACCTCTACTTATAGAATACCTTCATTTCCTCTCATTTGTCAATTTCACTTCCATCCATCTATTATCTACATTTTCACCCATCTACCACCTTCACTTCCACCTTTCCATCAGCTTCAGTTCCACTCATCATATCACCTTCACTTCCACCCATCTATCTTTTCATTTCTTCCCAACTATCACCTTCATTACCACACATTTATCACCTTCACATCTACCCATCTATCACCTTCTCTTCTACTCATCTATCACCTTCACTTACACCCATCTATCATCTTCACTTCCACCCAACTATCATATTTACTTCCACCTAACTATCACCTTCACTTCCACCCATCTATCACCTTCACTTCCACTCCTCTATCACCTTCACCCCCACCCATCTATAATCACTTCCACCCAACTATCACTTTCACTTCCACATGTTTATCACCTTCACTTCCACATGTTTATCACCTTCACTTCCACCCATCAATCATCTTCACTTCCACCCAACTATGATATTCTCTTCCAGCCAACTATCACCTTCACTTCCACCCATCTATCACCTTCACTTCCACCCATCTATCACCTTCACTTCCACACATCTGTCATCTTCACTTCCACCCAACTATTACCTTCACTTCTACCCATCTATCACCTTCACTTCCACTCATCTATCACCTTCACTTACTCTCATCTATCGCCTTCACTTCCACCCATCTATCACCTTCACTTCCTCTCATCTATCACCTTCACTTCCACTCATCAATCATCTTCACTACCACCCATCTATCACCTTCATTTCCACACATCTGTCACCTTCACTTCGACCCATCTATCATCGCTTCCATCCAAGTATCACCTTCACTTCCACCCATCTATCAACTTCACTTCCTCTCATCTAACACCTTCACTTCCACTCATCTAATTCATCAACCTGTCGGTTCCTGAACCATTTATCTACATTAGTGTCAGACACAGCACATCTTGGTAATTACCCCAAAACAAGTGTGTGTACAGCAAAGTTACCCACTTGACTAAAAATTATTTTCGTGGAAAAATATAACTTTCTTAATTTGCCGCACTTATTAAAGAATATTTTTTTTGAAGTTTTATTTATGTTTATTAAGCTTTCATTACTCTCAGAGATTTTTCATTTTTACCCCTTTTGAGGTAATTTACCCCGGTTCTCCGACCACTGGGACTCTAGCTGGTTCAAAGATTATAGTGAATCCTTAACGTAACTTTGGGTGATTGCGATACTTTTGACCGAACCAGAGAAGCTGTTTGATATCTTGGATAACTCTGAAAATCGTTTAAATTATAATATATCCTAGAATGATTATGTAGGAGAAGAAGGTGCTTAGTATGGGCCAGTGGGCGAAGCGTACTGCTAATTGATTCTAGTGTTCTTATATACAATTTTTACCCTCTAAAGCAGGGTCGTAACCTATGGCCCGTGGGTCGGATCCGGCCCCGTTACCCGAAATAGTCTGGCCCGCAGTGCCTACGAGAAATATTATATCAACCCAGCCAACAGGCTTTTTTTTTTTTTTTTTTTTTTTAGAACGTCCGTCACCTTGAAATGTAGAACAAGCGCTGACAGTGAAGCTCGACAAAAGTACGATCATCTGTGGCTGGAAGTCACTCTCTCTCTTACTACCTTTTTTTTTGTATCAACTGTTTTACAAGCCCGTATGTAAGTCTACGTATGTGTTTAAAATTAAAAACAAAAAGTACTCAAAACAAACGAAATGAAAAAGAAACTTTTAGAATACTAATGTAGATTTAATAGTAATTATATATTAGTTTTATTAGTTCGGATATTCCATAGCTCCTGTTGTCTGTATGTGACACTAGAGTTCTACAAGAAATATCTTGGGTTAGCTATGTTAGGAAGGTTCGCCAGAAACAGGACCAACGTTTCATGGCGAGGGTCTTAGTCAGATGATGACCCTCCGTTGGAGCTTTTGGTCATTTGACAGAGACCTTCCGCTGGCTTACCGGTCAACCCCTTTAAAAATTATGATCATAGTTATAACCTCTTCTATTCTCAGAAATATCATCTTGAAACTGGTACGTATACCAGCTTGGTAGATCACGTGATAAATATTGGGCAGAACTTACATGTGCGAGAAACTCTTCTTAGAGATGAAATACATGTACAAGAAGAGTGAATTAAGAAACCGACTGACTGATGCCCATTTAGATGACATCTTGTATCTGGCTTCTTCCAGTCTCTTACCTGATACTGAGAGACTCGAGCGAAAAACAACAGTAACTGTTATTAGACAAAGAGAGAGACACGTGAGGGTAGGTTCAATATCAGTCTCTCATAATAACTTTTATTAGACAGAGAGACAGGTGAGGGTAGGCTCAATATCAGTCTCTCATAATAACTGCTATTAGACAGAGAGACAGGTGAGGGTAGGTTCAATATCAGTCTCTCATAATAACTGCTATTAGACAGAGAGACAGGTGAGGGTAGGTTCAATATCAGTCTCTCATAACAACTTTTATTAGACAGAGAGAGAGAGACAGGTGAGGGTATGTTCAATATCAGTCTCTCATAATAACTTTTATTAGACAGAGAGAGAGAGACAGGTGAGGGTAGGTACAATATCTCTCATAATAACTGTTATGTTCAGTAAACATAATATTGTTTAATTAAATATATAAATATAGATCAAAACTTAGTATTATTATTACCTCTGTTTATTAACAATGACGATAGTGTGGCCCGCCATCCACTCACTGACATGGGCCCTGGGCCCTAGACAGGACAAAGTTTCCATCCCTGCTCTAAAGTGTTAGTCTGTTAGTCTTCAGCTATCGACTTTCTGCAAACAAATTTCACTCTTCTGTGAGTAATTGATTTCCATCAACAGATTAAATGCTTGGAGAATTACTTCAATTGTGTCAAGAAAGACGAATGTATCCCAGATAATTGGAGGTGTGACGGAGAGAAAGACTGTCTAGACGGTACTGACGAGTTAGAGTGTGACAGTCCAGACGACATAAAACAACCATCACTAGCACCTCCCTTTGACCAGTTTGGTCATCTGGTGAGTCATTCCAGTATTGTATGTGAATTATTAACTAAAACGCATTATAATTCAACAATGTAATAAATGTTCGGTGCTAAGTAAAAGTAACATGACTGTCGTTGGAACAATTCACAGCTAACTTGCTACTTGGTAATGTTGCAGGGATACCTAAAGGCCATTTTCTTTCAATTTCCAACTTGCGTTAGTTGTGAAAATGTTAACCATTTTCATACTTTTACCTGTCCAATATTTTTTCCACCCCGAAGCATAACGTCATTTAAGAAACTACAGAGGTTTTATGATCATCTAAACTCTTGAGTTGTATGATATATGTCCAATGAGTGTGCGTGTAACACAATGGTTTTACCTTGTACAGGAAAAGTGTGTAGGAGACCAGTTTCTGTGTAAGCCAAATGGCAGTTGTTACCCGTCATCCTGGTTGTGTGACGGTCATACTGACTGTGAAGATGGTACTGATGAGCTGATTTGCCCACAGGTCAGTGTATGTATATACGTATACATGTATATATATATATATATATATATATATATATATATATATATATCTCAAATCAAATCAACTTTATTCTCTATAAAGATTACACTTACGACAAGTTAAGATTCATTAGGTGATAGTTGTATTACGTATTTCTGTTTATAGTCAATTGGGTGAGTGTAGGTGCGAGTTGTGTGGAATCACAGATATCGAGGGGAGGTCTAGGTTGTTTTTTATGTGTGTGTGATACAAGAGAATTGTCGGTTTTCATGTAGTTAGCTGACGGTGGGGTGTGTCAGGGAGATGTTTTCTAAAGGTAGTTTTGAAAGTGATGAATGTGTCTGCAGTTTTAGAGTCCCCTCAAGGAAGGTTCCTTGATGCTGGTGAGGGGCTCTTGATTTAGGGAACTGGATCTGTGCTCCAGTTCCCTGAGTTAAACCTGAATACCTTCCATCCCTCCCCCAAGCACTGTATAATCCTATGGGTTTAGTGCTTCCCCCTTGATTATAATAATAATAATAATGCAGTTTTAGAGTTTTCAGGTAGGGTGTTCCAGATTTTGGGACCTTTTATGTACATTGAATTTTTGTATAGGTTTAACTGGACACGGGGAATGCCATAGAGATGTTTGTGTCTGGTGTTATACCTGTGAGTCCTGTCACAACTATTAAGAAAGTGCTTTAGGTCAGGGTTAATGTTGGAATTTAAGGTTCTGTAAATGTAGGTTGCACAGTAGTAAGTATGGATGTTCTGTACAATGAGTAAGTTAAGATCTATGAAGAGTGGGGGAGATGTGTTGCCTGGGATTGGATTGCGTGATTATTCTTACTGCAGCTTTTTGTTGGGTTATTATTGGCTTTAGGTGTGTATCTGCAGATGATCACCAAACACAAAAAGCATAGGTGAGGTAGGGACAAATGAGTGAATGGTATAGTGTGAGAAGGGCAAATATCGCAAACCAAGCGATACAAGATGCAAAAGAACCACGGCGGGACTAGAATGATAGCTCTAGGCCTTTCGTGTTGCAATCAACACATCATCAGGAGCTTGTAAACACTTTAGTCCCATCTATTAAATTCACCGTGGAGAAAGAGGTGGACTGTAAACTTCCATTCTTAGATGAGTTGATACACTGTGTTGATAGAAAGTTTAAGTTTACAGTATATAGGAAGGCTACCAATGTGTGCTCATACATTCACTACTACTCCAACCATGAGACTAGAGTCAAAAGTAGTGTATTTCTGACCATGTTTTTGAGCGCCTATAGAGTGTGCAGTCCGGAGTTCCTAGATGAAGAAATTAGGAAAATATTTGACACCGGCACAAAACTGCGATATCCTAAGATATTTATGGAATCTGCCCTTGCTGGCAGCTAAGAAAACTTCTTATAGAACAGAACCTAGGATAACACCTCAGACCTAGAATGTGCTGGCCCTCCCATATAACCAGAATTTGTCTATCCTACCGAATGCTCTTAGAAGATTTAATATACAGGTAGTTTTTAAAAATTCACGGACTGTTAGAAGCATCTTGATAAAGAATGCGCCACAACAATGTGTTGGTTGTGTCTACAGAGTTAGTTGCAATGGTTGCAATCTCTCCTACTTGGGACAAACTGGAAAGTCATTGGAGGTGAGAATGTCCCAGCACCGTTATTCGGTATGTATAGCACAGGAGTCGAATGCGATTTTCAACCATATTAGAGCCTGTAATAACCCTGCAAATTGGCCGGAAGCAAGAGTCATCTTTCCTTGTTCCCCCTGGCTTGAAAGGAATATTGTAGAATCGGCAATTATTAAGCATGATAGGCAGTCATTATACAATATCAGTGACGGATTGTTCAAATTAGATGCATTTTTATTTGAGGCAATAGTACACAGTTTAAAATTGGACTCTTGTATGTATGCATCAGACTGTCTTAAATGTGTCACACCTAGGAATTAGGGCTTTTCTTCCTGCAGTTTCTGAAGGTTGAACCATTGTTTGCCTCAGGATTATGTGAGATGAATATGGGTGGCCATCTTGTCATTGCAGATACCTCCCCTCTCTTTAAACGAGTTTTTGTTAATGAGCCCCGTTTCCTTTACATAACTTTTAGAAGTCTCCCCTCTGTATGTTAGGGTTTTCTCTCGTCATTTAAAGGACACGTTATCCTGTGGAGAGTATATAATTGCCAGTGTCTCCTATGTCGCAGACAGTATTTATATATGCATTTAAAGTTATTGTTGTCATAGCGGAATATAACTGAATTTATTATTATTGCTACGTTAATTTCGTTTATGTTACAATATCAATGCTTGTGGGATTATTCTAATGCTATAATGGCTGTTGTGCCTGTGGGCACTTCGGTACCTTCTCCTCTCTTCCTTTCTCACTCCAGTGAACGCGGTCCTCTGGGAACGTATTCGTGTGGAGACCCTACTCTTTTCTGCAATTTTGCAAGCTCCTGATGATGTGTTGATGTAACACAAAAGGCCTACAGCTATCATTCTACTTCCCCCAGTGGTTGTTTTGCATATATATATATATATATATATATATATATATATATATATATATATATATATATATATATATATATATATATATATATATATATATATACATACATAAGTTTACAGTAATTTAAAAATAAACAAAATAGGTAGACTGTGGAAAATTAAATTTACCTGGATGTAACTCATAAGGCACATACCAGTAAATGGTAACAAAGATAATTATTCTTTATCAAGGTTACAGAGACAAGTAGGAATTTTAGGACACCTAGGTCGCAAAAAATGTCCCCCTTCGATACCTACCATAATCTATCTCTCCACAAGTCACTCTGGACCTATATTAATTTCAAATGAAATATACATCACCAGGAATTCTGGTAAAAACATTAATATAAATATGTGGACCGTATATTAAAATTAATAAATGATTACATATACACATTTAGGTAACAGAAGGAGAATTTATAATCATAAGACTCACCAATTTGTCTGGAGATTATGGTGTGTCATAACACCCTGCCTAAATATGAAGAAAATACTGGCCAGAATCTCAACATAAATAGACAACGACTTAGCTGGGGTTCCTGGAGCTGTCCTGTCCATCTGCTTAATGCCCATATTATGCAGGACTTCAAATCCAACAATTTCGGCTCCTATTTGGGAAGTTTCAAACACAATTTAACTTCCAGAGCGACGAAATTTAAGTACATTTCATTAGTGTACCTACACCACATTCAAAACAATGGCGTCTCCTCCCCCAGCTATGCTCACCCATCGCTGGTTCTTTATTTATTTACAAATTAATTTTTATTATCTACAATATAGGCCATCAATTTACATATAAAATACACTATATTTTTGGAGAATATACAGTATTTTCCACATAGACCTTGCAATTTTTGCTTAGATAGCAATGCTCTTCTTGCCGAATAAAGCAAACAAAAATTTGTGTATGCAATAATTTCGCCAAAATCATTCTGAATCTAACGAAAAAAATATATTTCACTGTTTGGTTATTATTAAATTATTGTAAACTTATCCAAAATATATTTAGTTGGATTAGGCTAAATTAAATTGTGTTTCGTTATAATAAGGTTAAGCTCTTTAAGGTTCTTTTGGTACAAAATTATTAATTTTTACATTAACATAAATGAAAAAAATATATCTTGAAACGTATAAGAGAAAATTTTAGAAAGTACTTAGTTTTAAATGAGTTTTTGCTAACTGACCAATTTTACCTATTCGGCACGACATTTATATATACATGCATGTTATGCTGCTTAGGAAGTGGGAAAAACAAAAAATCTTAATAAAATTAAGACAGTCACCATCTTTTAAATTTCTTTACAGAACCAAAACATTTTAGTGTACAATCCAAGACAAACACTGTTCCATATTTATTAATAAGATGATAAAGACAAACTTATTCATAACAAAAATACAAATTAAGAGAGCATGTTGTTGCCCTTCATAACTCAGGGTCGACACTCACTACACCAGAGAAAATTTGTAAACCAAGTATACTACCATTGCTTGAAAATAATCAAGTTACATGCGGCTTTATTGCCATCAAGTTCTGAGTCAAGTTATCTACACATGTTTAAAGATAATTTTAATGGCCATGTCTCTGCAACTAAGTTATTTACCTTAAAACACTCGTTGTTACATCTCAATAACCTCGCCAACCATTTAACTACAACTGCTACATCTAAACAATTTCAACCATTTAACTGCCACTTCTACATCTAAACAACCTCACCAACCATTTAACTACCACTGCTGCATCTAAATAATCTCACCAACCATTTAACCAACAATGCTACATCTAAATAACCTCAACTACCATTTAACTACCACTGCTACATCTAAACGATCTCACAAAGCATTTAACTGCCACTTCTACATCGAAACAACCACACTAACCATTTAACTACCACTGCTATATCTAAACAACCTCACCAACCGTTTAAATGTCACCTCTACCGTTAAACAACTTCGCCAGCCTTTAACCTCAAGTGCATAGTACAGTAGGCCCCTTTTCTCACTCACTCATCATACCTCTTTCACTTAAATCTATCATCCTATTTGTTCGTGAACATGAGCTGTGAGTTTCTGACCGATACTTCAATTTGAACAGAAGGAAGATCCGTGTGAGAGAAAAGAGTGCAGCCACCGCTGTTTGTCGTCACTTCTGCTGCCTTCAGGCTTCATTTGCTACTGCCCTTCAGGAATGCGGCTTCAGGACGACCGTCGCACCTGTGTTGCCAAGGAACCCGACCAAGTGATGGAGTTCCCAGGGAAAACCGGCTAGTGTTCGGACACCTGTATTTGCTGTGGGACACCCCGGTGTGTGCTGTGGGACACCCAGGTGTGTGCTGTGGGACACCCAGGTGTGTGCTGTGGGACACCCAGGTGTGTGCCGTGGGACACCCAGGTGTGTGCCATGGGACACCCAGGTGTGTGCCGTGGGACACCCAGGTGTGTGCCGTGGGACACTCAGGTGTGTGCCGTGGGATACCCAGGTGTGTGCCGTGGGACACCCAGGTGTGTGCCGTGGGACACCCCGGTATGTGCCGTGGGAAACCTAGGTGTGTGCCGTGGGACACCCCAGTGTGTGCCGTGGGACACCCAAGTGTGTGCCGTCGGACACCCAGGTGTGTGCTGTGGGACACCCAGGTGTGTGCCGTGGGACACCCAGGTGTGTACCGTGGGACACCCAGGTGTGTGCCGTCGGACATCCCGGTGTGTGCTATGGGACACCCAGGTGCGTGCCGTGGGACACCCAGGTGTGTGCCGTGGGACACCCAGGTGTGTTCTGTGGGACACCTAATCATGGAGGGTTCTAGTAGATAATGTTGGTGTAGAAATACACAAGAGTATGGCTGGTAACACTTGTATTTGCAAAGCTGTGAGGGGAGCCCTTGGCTAGCCTGTTTGCCTGTAGGTCTATCTGGGAACTGAGGGAGAGGCAGAGCGTCTGACGCTCACATGTGGCATCACGCGACGTCACATATTAGCCGCTAAGTGTAGCAAGGGGTCGTCTATATAAAATATATGGATGGTACTATGATACTCAGATATGCCACACGACATATGTAGGAGATCAGCAACCATGCTATATAGACGACCCCTTGCTAGACTTAACGGCTAGTATGTGACGTCACGTGATGCCACATGTGAGCGTGAGACGCTCTGCCTCTCCCTCAGTTCCCGGATAGACCTACAGGCGGCTACAGGCAGGCTGGGCCAATCCCCTCACAGGGACACCCAGGTGTCTGCTGTGGGACACCCAGCAGTGTGTCGTCATAACACAAGCTGTTGTTTACTAATTATATGCAGAGCTTTTAATCCTCACAAAGGTCATTAATAAAGTATGAGTTAAACTGCAAAGTTTTTGTTTTTTATTTACTGCTTCTCAACAAATAACTTTAAACTCTACTTCCTAGGTCGCCTAGGTACTTCCTATGTCACCTAGGTACTTCCTAGGTCGCCTAGGTACTTCCTATGTCACCTAGGTACTTCCTAGGTTGCCTAAGTACTTCCTAGGTCGCCTAGGTACTTCCTATGTCACCTAGGTACTTCCTATGTCACCTAGGTACTTCCTATGTCACCTAGGTACTTCCTAGGTCGCCTAGGTACTTCCTATGTCACCTAGGTACTTCCTAGGTTGCCTAAGTACTTCCTAGGTTGCCTAGCCTAGCTACTTGCTAGGTTGTCTAACTATTGTATTGTGCCAAAACAAAAGCATTCACATTGCTAAACTCACAAATTATGATGTAGTCACTTAGCCTTAATACCATAATCTGTGAGGATTTAATGTTAAGAATTAATCTAAGTCTGCCCGAAATGCCTAGCAATGCTAGGTGTCCTAGTGGCCCCCTCTGTAATTAGTATTTTATAACATGTAAACCACACAATACCCAAGACCTGTAAACCTCACATTGTAACCCTTATAGAGAATAAACTTCAGTTGCTTAGCTACTTCCTAGGTGGCTCCGAATCGACCCCTGCAACCACAAATCGGTGAGTACAAGACAGATCCAAGAGCCAGGCTGATGCAGGCTTAAAGACGCCCAGGACACATTTTTTCCGTATATGATGCACTCCTGCCATATATGACACACTCCAGCCATGGATGACACATTCCAGCCATATATGACGCTTGTAATGTATACAGGAAGTTTTATGGCGATGCGGTACTACTGTGGTAGTGTAGTGGTAACTGTTTGAGTTGAGGTACATTGGTGCTACTGTGGAAGTGTAGTGGTAATTGTTTGAGTTGACGTACATTGGTGCTACTGTGGAAGTATAGTGGTTATTGTTTGAGTTGAGGTACATTGGTGCTACTGTGGAAGTGTAGTGGTAATTGTTTGAGTTGACGTACATTGGTGCTACTGTGGAAGTATAGTGGTTATTGTTTGAGTTGAGGTACATTGGTGCTACTGTGGAAGTGTAGTGGTAATTGTTTGAGTTGAGGTACATTGGTGCTACTGTGGAAGTGTAGTGGTAATTGTTTGAGTTGAGGTACATTGGTGCTACTGTGGAAGTGTAGTGGTAATTGTTTGAGTTGAGGTACATTGGTGCTACTGTGGAAGTATAGTGGTAATTGTTTGAGTTGAGGTACATTGGTGCTACTGTGGAAGTGTAGTGGTAATTGTTTGAGTTGAGGTACATTGGTGCTACTGTGGAAGTATAGTGGTTATTGTTTGAGTTGTGGTGCAATGGTGCTACTGTGGAAGTGTAGTGGTAATTGTTTGAGTTGAGGTACATTGGGGCTACTGTGGAAGTGTAGTGGTAATTGTTTGAGTTGAGGTACATTGGTGCTACTGTGGAAGTGTAGTGGTAATTGTTTGAGTTGAGGTACATTGGTGCTACTGTGGAAGTGTAGTGGTAATTGTTTGAGTTGAGGTACATTGGTGCTACTGTGGAAGTGTAGTGGTAATTGTTTGAGTTGAGGTACATTGGTGCTACTGTGGAAGTGTAGTGGTAATTGTTTGAGTTGAGGTACATTGGTGCTACTGTGCAAGGGGCCGAGGCTTTAAGGTCGTATCTGCGTTACCTTGGTCATTGACATCGTCACTTCTCTGAAAAGGAGAAAAATGGGCTTTTAAAGGTGAGTGTATTGCTACTCAGGGCAGCGAAAGTAAGAGAAAGGATGTGGTGTGTAGTCACACCAGTAGAGGATACTCGCAACAATATGAGAGTAATATAGTATGAATAGGGGCTACTCACAAGAGTGTGAGAGTAAAACAAGATGGGGGGGGGTACTCACAACAGTATAAGAGTAAGATATGGTTGATGGGAGGTACTCACAACAGTATAACAGTAAGACAAAATGGGAGGGAAGTACTCACAACAGTATAACAGTAAGATATGGTGGGTGGGAGGTACTCACAACAGTAAGAGGGTAAGGCAGACGTGGAATCCAGCTGAGAGGTAGTTGTAGGTGGCAGCTCGAGTAGTGATGGTGGCAGTGTAGACAACATTGTAGAGTGGAGCAGCCAGGAAGGGCAACAGCGACTCCAAAGTTGCCATCACTGCATACACTTTTCCTATGAGGGAGACCAGACTTGTTGTACCTGTTCTTTGATCATCGTCCCTTTCCCCAGGCCAGGTCACAGACCAGGTCTCGTCTGTTACTCTAATTGTTCATGCACTCAGACGTGGGTAGCACAGCCAGACTGGCCCTCTAGTTAGTTTTGAAGTAGTGTTAAAGTGTGCTTCTGAAGGCAATCAGGAGTCTGGTATTAAGTCCCCTATAACCTGGAGGGACGGAGTTACTATCAGAGTCCTGGTATTAAGTCCCCTTATACCTGGAGGGACGGAGTTACTATCAGGAGTCTGGTATTAAGTCCCCTTATACCTGGAGGGACGGAGTTACTATCAGGAGTCTGGTATTAAGTCCCCTTATACCTGGAGGGACGGAGTTACTATCAGGAGTCTGGTATTAAGTCCCCTTATACCTGGAGGGACGGAGTTACTATCAGGAGTCTGGTATTAAGTCCCCTTATACCTGGAGGGACGGAGTTACAATCAGGAGTCTGGTATTAAGTCCCCTTATACCTGGAGGGACGGAGTTACAATCTCTTTCTCTTTCTCTCATATGCATTTATAAACACATACACACACACTCACACTTGCACATACACAAATACACACAGGGGTCCAGGAGCTGAGGCTCGGGGCCAGGAGCTGAGACTCGACCCCTCACACACATACACACGCACACACACACACACACAAGTTATTAGTTAAAGAAAGTGAGAGGAAAGCTGAAATCATAATATTTCAAAGCGCAAACCGTTGGGGGTCTTAGGCGCTGTTGCCACATTGGTAGCAGTAGGCCTGAAGAAGTGACGTCACGACAAGTTGTGTGCCATTATACATATGAAGTGAAGTGTATATAATGTGAAGTGTATACTATCATCAGTGAAGAGTGAAGTGAGGAAGCGGGATGTACGAGAATATATGGTTATAATCATCACGGGTGAAGGATCTCCAAAATAGGGATTTAAGGCCTACGTACGACTACTTCGTCATCAGCAGCTGGCAACTGTCACCGCAATTTTAAATTCGCCTAGTTGTGGTTTGCCATGTTGACGGCCCTGGCTGGCCTTGCATACTGTTTGATACTGGTCACTCACTCCTGCAAGCTTTTAAACCAGAATTAGAATAGAAATAGCATAGACATAGAGAAATAGGGTTAAACAAAGTGTGAGAAGGTAGGTGGGACAAGCTTTTAAGGGAAACTTGTAAGACCGTGCTAGGGTCAGGTCCCAGGAGGGTTGTGTCAGGTCACAAGAAGTTGCGGCCAAAATTTAAACACCGCACAAGACACACTCACACACACACAACACACACCACACAACAAACACACACACATGCACACACGCACACAGGCAGTGTTTACTACCGGTAGTTATTAGCAGTAAGAATACTTAGAAGCTGGGAAAGCCCTCTCTCAATGTGAACAAGGAAAATGAAATAACCAGCAACAATTAACACTAAATCCAGAAAGGGCAATAAGTGGAGAGAGTAGCAAAATTTGGGGAAAAGATAAATGAACTAAATTTGTGCCTACACCGACGGATCTTTTCAAAAACAAAAACCCCCCCCTAACCCTCCCTCCCTCACACACAACACACACAAAAGGGGTAGCACTCACACACACACACACAAAACACACAAAACACATACACACACATACACACACACACATACATACACACATACGTAAACACACACAACACACACAACACACACAAACACAAACAAAACACACACACACACACACACAAACAAAACACACACACACATACACACACACATACACACACACACACATACACACACACACATTATTAACGAGAAGAAATTGAGGTGGATCTACGCCAGGACGTACATCGAGCTGGATCTACGCCAGGACGTCACATCGACCTGGACAATCTACAGTGCTACAGCTGCACTACAAGTACTGTATCACCTATGAGTGGTTGTTTGGGTGTGGGGTCCAGGTTCCAATTAACCGCCAAGCTGAATGTGAATGGTCTAACTCTCATAGCACGATGAAGAATAGGCACTCAAGTATTCAATAAGGTTTAGCAAATGATAATCCATTGAACAAGGCGATTAACTCACTATAAGCAGGTGATATAGGCAACACTGCAAGGGTGGGAGTCAAGGTCACAAGGGGCTGTGGACACAAGCGACAACTGAGAATCTACATTTCACTCCAAGCACAAGGGCCCCCTACTTTTCAGACACATAATAAACCCACACATAATTCGACACATAATTACACACACACACACACACACACACACACACACACCACACACACACACACACACACACACACACATACACACCCCACACACACACACACACCCACATACACACACACACCCACACACACACACACACACACACACACTGTAAGTGCCGGGAAGTCCCAGGAGGTTGGGGTGTCAGGGCACAAAAGTGTGGGCAGCCAAGGACCACCCGAGACTTACCTTAATCGCACAAAACCAAACCTACCTTTCAGTACATAATAAACCCACACATAATTCCACACACAATTACACACAAAATTACACACTCACACACACACACACCACACACACACACACACACACACACACACACACACACACAAAACACACATACACACACAACACACACACACACACACACACACATATCCAGACACACATACACTCCCCCCTCACCACCGACATCTCACTACTTCCCTGATCCCTCCCCTCCCTCGATCACCCTCCCCTCCCCCTTCACCCCAAACCCTCCCCACCCCCTCCCCACTCAGCTCCCACATAGCCACAGTTCCTCCACTACTTCCCCCCCCCCACACTCTGACACACACACTACTAACCTAACATACAGAACTACATAGGTTTCCCACTCTGAGGCAATCAGGATAAAACAAAAATGGGTTGCCAGAGAGCAACAAGAAAAACCAAGGGACAGGAGGGGGAAAATGCAAAGGAAGATTGGGCAGCAGAGCTCATAAAAAGGGATCATGAAAAGGGAAAAGAAACTAGAAGAACTTAGCATGAGAATGGAAGAGAGGATAGATATGGAAAGCAGGAAGTGGGAGGTGCATGTCAAAGCAGCAGAAGCTAGGATACAGAGTTTAGAAGAGGGAATTGAAAAATCTGAAACAGCCTAAAAACTAAAGAACATTTTGGGATTGACAACAGAGACTGCTTACCTCAGCCACAAATAAGGGGACTGTAGGGGAAAAAAGGGCACAACTGCATGGAGATGCTCTATCAGAGGAGACTGTAGCAAATGAAAGAGCTAAGCTTTATGTGGGAGGCCCTAAAAAACAACAACAAGCCCAAGGAAAGCCGAGAAGGGAAAATGACAGGCCACTGAGCCCAAGTACATTACCAGTGAAACTGATGAAAGGAAAGCCCGCAGTGGAGGAAACCAAATTAAATGAGGGGATACACAGGGATATGCAGTGGGAGAATGAAAGGGTGAGGCCCTCCTTTGTGATGGGCCCCGGAAGTCGAAGGGGAAACAATGAAGCAAGAAAACAAGGGGAAAAAAAAACAATTGAAAGCATCATGAAAGCAATAGGAGAAGACGATATGACCCAGCTGGAAATTTTCGGGGGAGAATAGGGGGGTTTGTAAAAAAAAGAACCCGAACCAGTGAGAGTGAAACCTTCAAGGCCCGAAGCGACCAGACCAGGACCTGCAGGAGAAAGCACGATTAAGGGACATGACGCATACAGGAGGGTGTATCTTTACTGCGACAGAACACAAGAAGAAAGGAAGAAACTGAGAGAGATGGTACAAAGGCGAAGGAGAAAGAGAGGGATGGAGAAGACAGACAGGAGATCCCAGACTCAGGAAGAAGATTTAAAAACAGCCTCCCTCACAACTTTCTATAGAAGCCTCCCAACCAGGCAACCCCAGTGCAACCAAACACTCTAAATCAAAAAACCCATGCCACATCCAATGCCCCCCCCCACACATTACAAACTTTACCCCCACAGCAACAACCCATAGTTCCTTACCAGGTCTCCCACTTCCCCAACCCCAATATACTTCCCAGACCACAGTCTTAGAAAAGAAGTTGAAAGTGTGGTAACAAATGCAGATGGAATAACAAACAAGTATGAGGAGTGGGATGAAAGAATCAAAGAGACATCCCCAGACATAAAGCACTCACAGAAACAAAACTCACCAGAATAATAACAGATTCAATCTTTCCATCCGGGTATCAAATCTTCAGGAAAGACAGAGGGAGGAGAGGGGAGGAGGAGTTTTTCACTGCTCATTAAAAACCAGTGGGTTTTGAGAAAATGGAAGGAATGGATGGCATGGGCGAAAGGGGCTACTTAGTAGGAACAATCCAGTCTGAGGACATAAGGTGATAATTTCAGTAATGTACAACCCACCACAGAACTGCAGGAGGCCAAGATAAGAATACGATGAGAGCAACAGAGCAATGATCAACACACTAGCCGAGGTGGCCAGGAGAGCACACATGGGGAGCAAAGTTACTAGTTATGGGTGATTTCAATCACAAGAAAATTGACTGGGAAAACCTGGAGCCCCAGGGGGGCCCGAAACATGGAGAGCCAAGATGATGGATGTGGTACTGGAAACCTCATGCATCAACATGTTAAGAACACTAACCAGAGAGAGAGGAGAGGATGAACCAGCAAGGTTGGACCTTGTATTCACCATGAGAGTTCGGACATCGAAAGGGGATCATGTATGAAAGGCCCCTGGGGCTAGTGATCATGTGGTTCTGTGCTTCGACTACATATTAGCTCCAAGTGGAAGAGTAGCAGGAATAGGCTGGGAAAAACCAAACTAACAAAAGGGGAACTACTCAGGCATGAGGAACTTCCTTCAAGACATTCAGTGGGAGAGGGAACTGACAGGAAAACCAGTACAAGAAATGATGGACTAGTAGCAACAAAATGTAAGGAGGCAGAGGAGAGGTTTGTTCCCAAGGGAAACAGAAATAATGGGAAAACAGAACGAGTCCTTGGTTCACACCCCAAAGGT